CAAGTGCTCAGATAGAAGAAGAACTTCCACGCGCTCTCTGGCATCTTCTCGGCGTCCGGTTTACCGTTTGGGTCAATAAACCCGAACCAAAAGGCAATGGCTAATCACTTAACAGTTTTCACTGTCTCTCTCACCAAATTGTCTAAATGTTTTCCTCTCACTTCACAAACAAAATAATTAAATGTAGTTTTTACTTTTCAAAACACATAAAGTAAAAACGTTCCCTTTAATTGCATTGTTTCTAAAACTATTTTCCAAATTAAATAATTTCCTAAAATTAATCCATGTTTAAATGAAAATAAAAACTTTACGACAAAACAGTAGATTTATAAATATCCATAAAAAAGATATATTTGTCTATTAATACATAAATATTTAATAATGTTGTTGTTTTGGTTACAAATCAATAGCCAATCGCCTCTTATTATGCATTGTGTAAACCGGACGCCGAGAAGATGCCAGAGAGCGCGTGGAAGTTCTTCTTCTATCTGAGCACTTGGTCTTCAATGGCTTATATAATACTGATTAAGAAAAAGGCCTCTTATTTCATCAACCCATCCATCGTATGGCGAGGTATGTGTGATATAACCACCAGATTATCAGACTATTTATGTTTGAAAAACACATTAACCGAGACATTAATTCTAATGACATTCAAAATGATAATGTTTTTACACTGAAAAACAAACAGATTATTCGGTCGACAGCGCGATAGAGATGGATATTTATGTCATATATTTGATTCAATTAAGCTTTTATTGTCATTCCCTGTACTCTACTCTTCGTGTGGATCAATGGAGAAAGGATTCGCCGACTTTAATGGTTCATCACGTCCTCTGTGTACTACTTATCTCCATATCTTTGGCCACAAAGTAAGTCAAAACGCTTTTTCGGTATTTATTTTTCTTTCGTTTCATCAAATTTTTGAGCAAAAACTGTTTTTCTTAGACTTTGTTATTCTTGTGTTATTATAATTGCTATAAAAAACATTATTTTGAAAATTTGTATTATTATTATCATTACGTTTAGTCTACTTCTCGTTTAATATGCAAATTAGTCTTCGCCTTAATCTCGAGATTTATTTATTTAATTTCTTTCTTATTTTCTTTTGAAAACTGTTTTTGAGTTGAGTTTTTAATGTGAAAACTTTGTTTAGTTTTAAATCTATTTATTATACACATTGAATATATTTTTAAAAAATCAAAATATTTAACTGACATTTCTTTTACATTTACTGATATTCGCGTTTTAATTGGTAATTAAAACACATAATTTTTTACACAAAATTTGTGATAATAGTTATAGCTATTTGATCGCAATCTGTTTTACCCAGAATTTAATTAAGTTATGTTTAAAAGTCATCATAAATTCAACAGAAAAAGACAAACAAAAATAGGTTAACAAAACGTGTCTAATTAGGTATTGAGACTCAAAATGATGGTAAAAATAAATTTAATTTGAATATTGTGTTTCACGAAATCAATCAAATTAATGACATTCAATCAAATTATCAAAATAATCTAATTAATGCAATATTTTTATAACCTAGCAACATGCTATTTAAATGTTAAAACAATTTTTATTATGACGATTGACATCGATTTAATTTGTAAAATAATTTTTTGCACATAAAGGACCCACAAATCCGGTCTGTTTGCTATGTTTTTACACGACGGGTGCGATATTCTGTTGGAGGGCACGAAACTGAGCCGATATTTCAAAGTTCAGGCCGGAAGGACTATTAAGGGCATGGATATGGTCACCAACATTGGCTTCGGCGCCTTTATAATGGCCTGGTATGCAAAATAAAATATTCATGTTTGTTTAACTTAATTTGCACGCACAATTGAATTGTAATAGATGCAATAGAATTTGTAATAGTAATGGTTTGGTGCATATTTTAAAGCCAATTCACATTCGTTGAATATTTGACTGCAAATTTAATGTAAATATTTTATGGAAAATACTTCATGTTTTATGTTTAGAGAGTTTACGTCAACTCTTTTTACTATTGACAACTGAAAAGTAAAGTATTTACTTTATAATACAATATAATTTATTGAAAACAAACTACACCATCAAATAAATAAAATGCTGTTTCATCAAGGACTATTTTTAGAGCACAACTTCCTTAATAGCCCACATAAAAGTTCCCAAAATAGTTTTTTATATAATTTTTTATTTATGAATATAATTAAATTACAAAATTAATATAACAAATAATCATTTTTTAAGGCTCTACTGTCGTCTATACTGTTTCCCATTAAAACAAGTATACATGGCATCAGTGTATGTGAGCGCCCAACAAATTAAAGTGCCTTTCATTTTGCCAATCGTGGCGATGCTATGGATTCTGTTACTGATGAACGTCTACTGGTTTACGGTATGACATAATTGACATCCAATTAACGAGTACTTCGTTTCGTTCACTAATTTAATGCTTTTTCATTGTATTTTGATTTGAAGTTCATATTGAAACTGCTGTACAAAGTAGTAACAGGTCAAATCAAAGAATTGGACGACAATAGAGAATATTCTGTGGATAAGAGTTCAAAGACATCAGAAGAATCAGATGAAGACCAGCTGAAGAATGGCCGCTATTATCTGAGACAAAGAAAAATTGACTATAATTTGTTACACACGGGAAGATCGCAATAATAATATTGAATTACAATCATAATGATAATAATATATTAATGTTTATAAACTCGTATACAGTATACTCTCTGTTGTCAACAGATAATTAAGTGGTAATCAAATCAATGAACTTCTCGTCTCTTATATATTAGAGACGAGACATTTAATTAATTAAAGACAATAAACCTTTTTTTGTCCACAACTGTATTGCACTGACACTGCAATTAAAAGGTCCTCTCCTTTCAAGTGGTTTATTATATTTAAACAAAATATTAGCTAAAAGTCTCGACATTTAACAATTATAATTGAATGCCTTTGATATACAAAAAGTATATTTCATTAAATTATGTGTATATAAAAATCACATATAAATTAATGTAAAAGTATTTTAGACATTATGTGCCTATACTTCTCTAAAATAACTATAATTTATATTCTATTGTAATTGTTATTCAGGAATTTGATTTTATAAAGAGTTGTTTTATACGATTTTTATTCAATTCTTAAGTTTACAGATAAATGACTATATATTTAATTTTTTAATTAATTATTTTGATTGGATTTTTAAATATTATTATTCTTAATAATAAGAGTCTATTTTACAAATAACTTGTTGTCTTTAATGTAAATAAGTTTTGACATTATATAAAAAATTTATTAAATTTTAATATTAAAAACATTTATGTGCAATACTTTGCATTTGCATTAATTAATGAAAGCCATCGATTGTATTGAGATTTCCCACTAATAAATCTTGATTTTCAATATGAGGATCAGTGCTGCCGATCATAACATGAGGATTGTGTTGATATGTTTGGCGAGGGTTTGCATAGACAGGTGTCTGTCTTTTATCTTTATCTAAAATCACTCCAATTTTAGGGCCAGAATTGCTGTTAGTGTTAGGCGAATGGCCAGCCGATGACCCCCTCCTCTCAGAGCATAGACACCACAGCAAACATATTGACAAAATTACAATTACCACAAGTGTTATACAAATTAACGCTATAATAGTAGTGATGGGAAGCGATGTCATCTTTGGCTCAATTCTTTGCTTACGTTTTCAATTGTATTAATGAACGCAATGACTAATTAATAACAAATATACGTAAATTTAATATAACAGTTGTATTGTTAATATTATGTTGAGACTATAGATGAGGTCAATGGAGAGCTATTTTAAGGCCAGGAATTTTTCAATTAAACAAACAAATATTTAGATAATTTATTTTTTCAAACGTTTGAGTGAAACGCGTGCAATACATACAGTGTATGCAAATGTATATATTGTTTAAAAGTATATTTTATAAATAAATAGTCTAATAATGCGAGACGTGAGATAAAACACAGAATCATGTTTTATTATAAATAAATTTGATGTATACTTTATTTGTATAGAATCTCATAGAAAATTATTCCGTACATTCTCTTCGCTGTATATAATAATAGGCTTTATTTTAAAATAAATAATTACAATGTTTTTGAAATATCACTGAATATTCTTTGAATTCTTGGGTTCAAAAACCATTACATTTTCAATGAGTTCCGGCATTTGTCAAGAATCTCTTTCCTGACTTTAGGATATTCGGGATATTTTGTCAGAATTTCTTTGCAGACATCGATGGCGTCTACATATCGCTTAGCTTTCATAAAATTAAAGGCTAGTTTGTAGCCAATGTTGGGATTATTGCAATTTGTGAATTTCCAAGCTTGTTCATAATTATGCGCCGCATCCCTATAGCTCTGCTCCTTTTCCATTATGTAACCCAAGTATTCATACGCTTTCATACATGACTGCAATGAAAATATATTGTAATCACAATAGAGAGAGAGAGAGAGAGAGAGAGAGAGAGAGAGTCAACATTTACAAGAGTCTGGTATATAAAGTGTCATTCACTTTAAAAGGCAATGAATTTGCGAAAACTGTTTTTCTCGCATTTATACGGCTTTACCTTATTGTAGAGCAACACTTTCTTCAGCAGTTCAATAGCCATATCGTATTTACCCGATTGGATGTATATATCAGACAACAATAGCCAGCATTTTTCCAAATATTCCGCTTCCTTTCAAAGTTAAAATTAAATTTTTATAGATGTTATCATTTCAAAAAGATAAATAAATATTTATTGCTCACTTGAAAATTCCAACTATTTTTGGCCACTCTTTTCAAATGATTCCTGGCTTTTGGCGTTTGCTTTAATATCATAAAAGCCGTCGCCACTCCCAGAAGCGCCGCCACATTATCTCTCTATTATTCAATCAATCAATAAATCACTTAATTTTTATGAATGAATCTATAAATTCAATAATCGCTTACATATCTGTCATCGTTAAGTAATTTCATAAATTCATTGAGAGCTAAATCTGCCTCGTTTTTGGTCCGTTTGGCCAGTAATACAAAGTTACACATTATATGAAAGTCCAGTTCATCGAAAACTTTGCTTTTCAAGTCCTGGAAGTAGTATTCGTGTAATTAATTTTGTTATTTTGCAAAATTCATTCATTGATCAATAATTATAAATTATTAATTACTCACATTTAGGAGAGAGTCTGCGGTCTTGAGTGCAGCGCTTTGATAGCTATCCCTTTCCGTCTGACTGTCCGTTCAATCCATTATTAATTCACTTATCGTGGTTTTTAATTAAATTAATGAGACAATTAATACCTGAGCTGAACCATACTTTCAAACGTCTCGCCACCGATGGTCTCATTGTCGGGATTGATGCAAATCTCAATCATATGATAAGTGACTGTAACACCTATTTCTGGGTCCTGTCGGGCCTTATTGAAGCTCTTTAACGCCTCGTTATTATCACCTGAGTTCGTACATTATGTTTACTTAAGTTTTTTTAAATAGTTTATATGCAATGAAAACCTGTAAACCATTGATAGAGTCCTTTGGAGTAATGAAACCCCGAATCTAATTGAGTTCGTGAAGAAAACTTTTCAGCCTTTTCGAGAACAGGAGGCACTAAATCTAATTGACCCACACGTCTGGCCGTCTCTATTAATTTTTTCATTGCCTGATAATATGCTGTTTACATATAAAGCAAATATGTCTTATTGTTTATAAATTATAATTAAAATGCAATTGTTTAAAAAGCTGTAAATTCAGTTATTACTCGGTTTTCTCGTTAATAACTCAGTGAAATGATTGAGCGCTCCGTCAAAATCGTTTTGTCTGAACGTCAGGTCAGCCATCATCTGAATAATGAGTGTATTCGCAAAATTAATGTATAATATGTTAATGAATTGATTGTAAATATAGTTATGACAAGATGTGAGACCAGAACGGGTTCATCCAAATGGGGCGCGTGTTTAAGAATAGCGACACAATAGTTGTGTGCGATATCGAAGTTCTGGTTCGAGGCCTCGAGCTTTGCCATCAACATCAGGATCTAACCCACAAATGACACATCAAAACATATATTATGTATGATTTAAGCGCTTCCCACAGACCTCGGCGTTTGCCTCGTCGTAATTCAGCGCTTCCTTATAGACATTGAGTGCCTGTTTGTTGTCTCGCAAGTGGCTTGAGATGAGTTCACCCAATTGTTTGCATAAACTATACGATTGTTATTTTATTATAATGTGTTAAATTATTTTATCTTTAATAAAAATATATTGATTGAAAACCTAATGGAAAATTTCTTCTGTTCAGCTAAAAGATCCGGCTGTTCGACAGGCAATCGTCTCATTAATCTGTTATAAAGATTTTTAATTAATTATTTAAACATTCGTTCAATTATTAAAATAAAGAATAATTAATACGAAACAAACTTTTGGTTTGTCTGATGCGCCCGTTTTAAGGTAGCAATAGCTGTGTCTTTATTATCAGTGTTGAGCTGCACCTGACCCAACAAATTGACCAGTTTCACCTCCCACTCCAGTGTTTGCAAGTCTTGAGCTATTTTATTGATTTTATATTAGATATTAATAGTTATATTAATAATTAAATTGTCATTAAATTATTTTATACAAATAAAATACAAGACTTACATTGACTCTGCGATATCTCCAAAGCATTTGTGATAATAGCCTGCGATTCACTAAATCTTTTCAAACGCCATAGTAGATGAGCTAGGTCATATCGAAACGCATTTTGACCACTAGTCTTAATGGCCGCCTTATAATACGTGACGGCCTATCGATTTAATCAAAATATAACATTTATCCAAATTAAGTAGTATTTTAATTAACCTTTTCGTAAAAATGTGTTTTAATCAACGCCTGTCCAACTTTTCTGGTGAGGACCCAGTCTTTGGGATTCTTCTTCAACGCCTGTTCGTATATCTCTATCGCCCGCTCCGGCTGTCACTCAAACGCATAGGTATTTGAATTAAAAGCAATGCTATTTGTATTGAATGTAATTTGATTGGCAAATACCTCAAGAATATGCATATATGCGTCGCCGAGCATTAGGAATGATTGAGTCGTTGGCTTTTTATCAAGAATTTCTCTGTCAAAACATTTGTTATAAAAAATGTTTACTCAAATTGTTTTTGTATAAATTGTAGATTTTTTATTCATTATTTCCGGTAATCAATAATCTAATTAACAAATATTTCACCTTGTTAATTATAATTTTAATTATATTAGATAATACTGGCTAAATGTATATTAAATAGGAATTATAGTAATTAATGCTAATTGTAACTAATTAAAAACGTTTATAATTATGTAAATTGTTAATAAACTCACAAATTTAAGAATTTTTTTGTTTTAAATGTAAAATCACATCAAAGGCACACAATTTCAAAAAATGTAATAAAAAACTAATTAATTAACAAGATTAATTCAAATTATATAAATTGTAAAATGAAATGTTGATTGTGAGTGTTTAATAAATAATACAATTAATAATTGTATATAATATTTCTACCATGAGTATCGGCGTTCAATCTTATTTTTAACAATTTCGACAAACCTGTAACAGCCGGCGTATAGGCGCCGATCTTTTCTATGCTTGAGATACATCGCAGCCATGAGTTCACGGGAGCGGACGAAGTGGTCGCCCTGTTCTTGTCTGATGTCTCGCAATAAAGTCAACGCCGCGTCGATATCACCCCTGGCCTCAGCCAACTGGGCGTTCGCTATCATAATCCTTCCCTCGTCGGCGGTTTCTCTACAGTCTTCTAGCAATTCAGTCAATAGCT